ACAATGTGTCAATTTCTGGTGTACAGCATAACATCCCAGTCATGCATATACATATATATATTCATTTTCATATCCGTTTTCATTAAAGGTTATTACAAGATACCAAATATAGTTCCCTGTGCTATACAGAAGAAATTAATACATTCCTAAATGCACAGAAGTTACGATCAATGCCTTAGGACAAGAGTCAGCCAACTTTTTCTATCAAGAGCCATATGGTCTCTTAAAACTACTCAACTCCGCTGTTATAGCACCAAAGTGGCCATAACCAATAGCAAGAAGAATGGGTGTGGCTATGTGCCAATAAAACTTTATTTATAGGCACTGAAATTGGGATTTTATTTATTTTTCATGTGTCAAGAATGACTCTTTTTAAAAATTTTTTAAGCTTTAAAAAAATGTAAGAACTATTCTTAGCTCATAAGCCCAACAAAAATGGATGGCGGGCCAGATTTGGCTTTCAGGTGAGAGTTTGCCCCCACCTTAGGACATCAGAGCTTAGTTATCACCTGAGCCCCAGGTGAGAAAGGCTGGTAGATAATTCAAACATACAAAGATGCAAAAGAGGACACCACAATATTGTGAGAGAGGGAATCAGGCATCTGTTTAGGAGTTGAGAAAATACACACATGATGACAGGTTAAGAGGAAACGATCTTTGCAGATGAGAAAGTGAGGACACCTGAGAAAGTGGAGGAGACTGGTGGATCAAAGTCCTAAATGAGGGAGAAGAGGACAGGATGGAGGATGAGCTCAGGGAGGGAGAGGCAGACGGCTTCCCCCTGAGATGTAAAATGAGGAGGGAAGGGTAGTGGAAGCAGATCTTGGAGCACCTGGGACCGCCAACTGCGAAGGGCTCACACTCCACTAGGCGAGTGGTGAGGAGCTACCCAAAATGTTTAGGCCAATCAGTAATGCACTGGGAATCCCCACCACAGACTGAATAAATAAGCAAACACTCCATGTATGTTCATCTAACGTAGGTCTGACCAGAAGAGACGAAGCTCAGAGTATGTGATAACGAACTCTCATGCCCAAAAACCTGCCCCACAAAACGTATTCTGGGAAGGAAAGATAAGAGAAGCGGACACACTCAAAGCCAGCTAGTTCAATGCAGCCACATACACATGTGCTCTCACCCTCAAGAATCTGAATATCGAATATAGTAAGAGTCCATGACTCAGAGTTTTGGCAGCTTCGGGTTGGGAGTCGGGTGGAGTATGGTAATTAGTACTATGTTCCTGTCTCAACTTCGTAATTAACCATGTGCCTGGTGCTAGGACAGTTAAATTAACCTCTCTGGGCCGAAGCTTCCTCAGGATCAAATAGAAATTAGGAATTTGTTCCCTGTGCTTCAAAGGTTTGCAACAAGGATCAAAAGAGCTAGTGGATATTAACACGCTTAGAAGTGGAACAGGCTACACAGATATAACACCGTAGCTGAAAAACCAGTTTTGTGATGTCACTTGGCAGAGTAACTTCCTGAAACCCTCACCTTATTTCGTATCTGAATCTCTCTCCCGCTGGGCAGTAGTACATGATTTCAGTGGGACTCACTCTGGTCAAAAAACATCCTGCTTGGCTGAAGTGCAACCTCCATCCTTTGCATTTATCCTTTTTCTGAAAAGCTCTACACCTTTTGGAGAGCAGGACACCTTTCTAGAGGTGTGGTCTTGGGGTGGGGTCCAGTCATTTAGACATCACTGCATGGGTTGAAGGCCCCTGTGAGGACCTCTTGGATGAGGCGGCAGTTCAGGTGGGCCTTGACGTTTCGCTAAGATTGAAAAGACAGAGGGAAGGCAAGGCTCTCTGAGTGGTGGGATAGCTTAAACTGCACTTGATCACTTCATTTAGGCCAAACATCTGATGCACTGGGAGAAACAGGGGGAAAAAAAAGTGCTGGAGAGGCTGAGAAATACCCAGTCAACAACAGAGTATCTATTTTCTTCCTTGTACAATTCAAATTTTGGTTCTGTTTTTGCTGCTGAAATAGAGAAGGTATAATCCTTCAATATTAACAACAGTCATTTAACAAGGAGACTCTACACTAGTGAAGCAGTGAAAATAAACCCAAAGCCTTACATTCATATAATCATTTATTATTTACTAAGAACTCCCATTTCTCTTAACTCTTCGGCCTATAGATTAGTCGTATCATATAGGCAAGGTAAGTATAATTACCCACCTTTGCATAAAAAGAAAAAGGAATCTGGTTCAGAGAGGTTATGTGACGAACCTGAGGTCACACAGCTAGTAACTATTAAGAGAGAGGTTGTCTGCCTCAGAGTCCAGCCTTGTTTTCCTCTATATCCACTACATCTCTTGGCTGAATATGGCCATGGACAATCTTTAGGTTGGCAATGTCCTCCTGCCAAAAGGAACAACCATCATCTTTTCACACTGACAAAAGGAAAATAGTAAGACAAATAAAATCACAGGTCAGAGGGCAGCAAAGTATGCCCATGGGCCAAATCCAGCCCACCATCTGTTTTTGTACAGCCTGCAAGCTAAGAATGGTTTTTACATTTTTAAATAGTTGAAAAAATCAAAACAGGAATCATCCTTCACGACATGGGAAATTACATGAGATTCAAATGTCAGTGTCCACAACACTGACACACCCACTCATTTACGGATGCGTGATGGCTGCTTTTATGCTGCAAGGACAGAGCTGAACTGTTACAACAGAGCACAGCCTACAAAAAGCTGAAAATATTTACTGTCTAGGCCTTTACAGAAGAAGTTTGCTGACTGCTGTCATAAGTCACAGATCCTCAATTACAGTAAGGAAAAAACAAGGTAAGTAGAGATGGGAACTGCAGGAGAAAACAGAACCCCAAAACTGGAGGGCCCAGGTTTTATATATCTCAGGTTATGAAAACGAGGTTTTAAGGGAGAAAGCCTCAAAAGTGCTGGTCTGTCCCCACTGGGTGCGGCTGGGCTTCATGTGACAGTTTCCTAAGGAAAACTGCTTCCCACAGTCCCTTTAATTTCTCCCTACCCCCGACACTTCCCTACATGCTCACATGGGTTGAACCTCACTGCTTCCAGAAATGAAGATGCTCTGATGTCAGCTCTAAAATCTGTATCTCACTTCCTCAGACAAGTGGATATTTATTGACAGGGTGTGGGATGGAGAACGAAAGGAGAGAGCTTGCCTGTCCAGAAGACAGTAACCTTGGTGGAAATGCAATGTCACCAGCCCTAAACCATCATTCTCACAGATGTACAGCGTATTATTTAAAGGGAAACAAATATCAGCCACTGAATGTCATGCCAAGGACACATCTCCTGCCTCTTAACTAAACTTATCAGAGCTGCGGTTTAATATGGTTCCTTTCTCGTCCTCCCCTCAAATTCATCTTCCAGGGCAGCTCCTGACACCAGCAGCCAACAGTCAAGACGAAGATTTAGTGACGTGAGCTTCAAACAGATCTAGATTTATTGACAAGTGGGGCTGGCTTCCTTTCTCGGGCGCTGCAGTACACAGAATTAATTTGAACGGTTCTCTAATGTTCAGTGCTGCTTTGCAAATACCCAAATGTCTGCCTGCTCCCTGGGTTCATGGTGGGGAGGTCAGTTTTCACCAGGAGGAAGATTCTCAGTGGTGGCTGGAGCTTTCTCTAATCAGGCTGACCAGGTTAATAGGCACCACTCAGTTATTTAGCAAAGGGGGAAGAATCTCAGCAAACTTCCTGCCAGAACCCCTTCTCTTCCCTCTTCTGTAAGCTACCCCTGCCTCTCTTGGAAATCGGCAAAGAAATCAGCAGGACCAGCAAGCAGCCTTGGTTGCTACAAAAGCTTTGTGCCTTGGTGTTTGGAATCGCCCTCCAATCCTACAGACGCTTTGGAGTCTGAAGCCAGAAGCAGGCAGCTGCAAGCTGCTCTCCTTACAGGCTGTTTTCCAATTCTTGGGGCACAACGTTGAGCTTTGCTCACGTCCTACAAATGCATTCTCTGTGCCCACTTGCTGTGCTGCGTGGAGCAGGGGCAGCTAGCTGGACCGCAGATGCCCCGTGGCCGCAGGGAAGCAGGGCCTTCATCTCAAGCCGCCTCTCCCTGCGGGCCTCCACTGCCCGGGCCTTCACAGTCACACCAGGACACAGTGTAAAACAGCAGCGAGGGCGGACTAGGCACGTGCAAGTACCACGAAGAGGGGAAAAAACTGAACAGAAGCGATAATATCTCTGTCAATCCCTTCCTAACACTAGACTGAAGAACAAATCTGTAGAGCTCTGTTAAAAGATTAACTGCTAAATGAAAAAGAGCTACTAGATGTAAATTTAAAAGTCCAAAACACCCAAGAGGCATAACTATAATTATTGCAGAGGGAAGCTCTTTGAGACTAAAAATACATTTCCATTAACAATCAAAATTAGTTTTCATTGCTTTTTTTTTCTTGAGCTTTCAGTGAATAACCTTT